GGAATGGCACCCGCAGTGCCCGGGGCTGCTGCTGTGCACCGGGCGCGAGGGCATCGCCGCCTTCCGCACCATCAGCGTCTGAATTGGGGTGAAAACATCAAAAACTGGGTTAAAATACCCAAAATTTGGGTCAGGACTGTTCAAATTGGGGTGGGGACTGCAGGAATTGGGGAGGGAACCCCCCAGGGATGGCATCCCCAGTGCCCAGGGCTGCTGTGAGGGCATCGCCGCCTTCCGCACCATCAGCGTCTGATGGCAAAGAACTGGGGTGAAATCAGCCAAAACTGGGGTGAAAACACCCGAAATTGGGGTGAAATCACCTGGAATTGGGGTGAAAACAGCCAAAATTTGGGTCAGGAATGTTTAAAGTGGGGGTGGGAACTGCAGGAATTGGGGTGGGAATGACACCCGCAGTGCCCGGGGCTGCTGCTGTGCACCGGGCGCGAGGGCATCGCCGCCTTCCGCACCATCAGCGTCTGAATTGGGGTGAAAACACCTGGAATTGGGGTGAAAACAGCCAAAATTTGGGTCAGGACTGTTCAAAATGGGGTGGGAACTGCAGGAATTGGGGAGGGAATCCCCCCAGGGATGGCACCCGCAGTGCCCGGGGCTGCTGCTGTGCACCGGGCGCGAGGGCATCGCCGCCTTCCGCACCATCAGCGTCTGAATTGGGGTGAAAACACCTGGAATTGGGGTGAAAACAGCCAAAATTTGGGTCAGGACTGTTCAAATTGGGGTGGGGACTGCAGGAATTGGGGAGGGAACCCCCCAGGGATGGCATCCCCAGTGCCCAGGGCTGCTGTGAGGGCATCGCCGCCTTCCGCACCATCAGCGTCTGAATTGGGGTGAAAGCATCAAAAATCGGGGTGAAATCACCTGAAATTGGGGTGAAATCACCTGGAATTGGGGTGAAAACACCCGGAATTGGGTCAGGAATGTTCAAATGGGGGTGGGAACTGCAGGAATTGGGGTGGGAATGGCACCCGCAGTGCCCGGGGCTGCTGTGAGGGCATCGCCGCCTTCCGCACCATCAGCGTGTGATGGCAAAGAATTGGGGTGAAATCACCTGGAATTGGGGTGAAAACACCCGGAATTGGGTCAGGAATGTTCAAATTGGGGTGGGAGCTGCAGGAATTGGAGAGGGAATGGCACCCGCAGTGCCCGGGGCTGCTGCTGTGCACCGGGCGCGAGGGCATCGCCTCCTTCCGCACCATCAGCGTGTGAATTGGGGTGAAAACATCAAAAATTGGGGTGAAATCACTCGGAATTGGGTCAGGAATGTTTAAAGTGGGGGTGGGAACTGCAGGAATTGGGGTGGGAATGACACCCGCAGTGCCCGGGGCTGCTGCTGTGCACCGGGCGCGAGGGCATCGCCGCCTTCCCAGCCCCCTCCCCGCTCACCCCCTCCCCGTTTGCCCCCAGAGCAGCCCCTCGAGCGTGGCCACCTTCAAGCAGCACCGCGGGCCCATCACCTCGGTGCAGTGGCACCCGGGCGAGAGCGGCGTGCTGGCGGCGGCGGGCGAGGACGACCTGGTGACCCAGTGGGACCTGGGCGTGGAGAGAGACCCCCAGGACGTGGGGCAGGGGGCCGGGGAGGGCGAGGGGCTCTCGGAGCTGCCCCCCCAGCTGCTGTTCCTGCACCAGGGCGAGAGGGAGGTGAAGGAGCTGCACTGGCACCCGCAGTGCCCGGGGCTGCTGCTGTGCACCGGGCGCGAGGGCATCGCCGCCTTCCGCACCATCAGCGTCTGAATTGGGGTGAAAACATCAAAAACTGGGTTAAAATACCCAAAATTTGGGTCAGGACTGTTCAAATTGGGGTGGGGACTGCAGGAATTGGGGAGGGAACCCCCCAGGGATGGCATCCCCAGTGCCCAGGGCTGCTGTGAGGGCATCGCCGCCTTCCGCACCATCAGCGTCTGATGGCAAAGAACTGGGGTGAAATCAGCCAAAACTGGGGTGAAAACACCCGGAATTGGGACAGGAATGTTCAAATTGGGGTGGGAGCTGCAGGAATTGGAGAGGGAATGGCACCCGCAGTGCCCGGGGCTGCTGTGAGGGCATCGCCGCCTTCCGCACCATCAGCGTCTGATGGCAAAGAACTGGGGTGAAATCAGCCAAAACTGGGGTGAAAACACCCGAAATTGGGGTGAAATCACCTGGAATTGGGGTGAAAACACCCGGAATTGGGTCAGGAATGTTCAAATTGGGGTGGGAGCTGCAGGAATTGGAGAGGGAATGGCACCCGCAGTGCCCGGGGCTGCTGTGAGGGCATCGCCGCCTTCCGCACCATCAGCGTGTGATGGCAAAGAATTGGGGTGAAAACAGACAAAATTGGGGTGAAATCAACCGGAATTGGGGTGAAAACAGAAAACTGGGGTGAAAACACCCGGAATTGGGGTGAAAACAGACAAAACTGGGGTGAAAACACCCGAAATTGGGGTGAAAACAGCCAAAACTGGGGTGAAATCACCCGAAGTTGGGGTGAAAACAGCCAAAACTGGGGTGAAAACAGCCAAAATTGGGGTGAAATCACCCAAAATTGGGGTAAAAACAGACAAAACTGGGGTGAAATCACCCGGAATTGGGGTGAAAACAGACAAAACTGGGGTGAAATCACCCGAAATTGGGGTGAAAACACCCGAAATTGGGGTGAAAACAGACAAAACTGGGGTGAAAACACCCGGAATTGGGGTGAAAACAGACAAAACTGGGGTGAAAACACCCGAAATTGGGGTGAAAACAGACAAAACTGGGGTGAAAACACCCGAAATTGGGGTGAAAACAGACAAAACTGGGGTGAAAACACCCGGAATTGGGGTGAAAACAGACAAAATTGGGGTGAAATCACCCGAAATTGGGGTGAAAACAGACAAAACTGGGGTGAAAACACCCGGAATGGAAGTGAAAACTGACAAAATTGGGGTGAAATCACCCGAAATTGGGGTGAAAACAGACAAAACTGGGGTGAAAACACCCGAAATTGGGGTGAAAACAGACAAAACTGGGGTGAAATCACCCAGAATTGGGGTGAAAACAGACAAAATTGGGGTGAAATCACTCAAAATTGGGGTGAAAACAGACAAAACTGGGGTGAAATCACCCGAAATTGGGGTGAAAACAGACAAAACGGGTGAAAACACCCGGAATTGGGGTGAAAACAGCCAAAACTGGGGTGAAAACACCCGGAATTGGGGTGAAAACAGCCAAAACTGGGGTGAAAACACCCGGAATTGGGGTGAAAACAGACAAAACTGGGGTGAAAACACCCGGAATTGGGGTGAAAACACAAAACTGGGGTGAAATCACCCAAAATTTGCGTCAGGACTGCTCAAAATGGAGGTGGGAACCCCTGAGGTGGAAATGGGACCCTAAAATGGGGCAGGAATCCCCCTCAAAATGGGGATGGGACACCCCCAAAATGAGAATGAAACACCCCAAAAATGAGAATGAAACACCCCCAAAAATGGGGGTGGGATCCTCCCAAAAAGGGGGTGGGAATTGGGGTTGGAACCCCCCCAAAACGAGTCGGGGATCCCCTAAAACAGGAGGGGACCCCTCCCAAATGAGGGTGGGCACCCCCAAATTCAGGGGTCTCTGCCCCCAAATCTTCCTTGTCCCCCCACATCGGCCGATACCCCCGAGCGACTCCAAAAACCGATTTTATTTTTATTATTATTATAAATTAAGAAAAAGTTTTATTTCCCGCGTTTTGCCGAGCGCGGGAAAAAAAAATCCCCGCGTGGCCCCGCCCCCCTCGGGTCACGTGAGGTCGGCGCGCCACGTGATGGCGGTGCAGGCCAGGGCGCCCCCTGGCGGCGCGGCGCACAGCAGCAGCGATTTGCGCACGCTCGTGCCGAGGCGCGCGGCCGCGAGCAGCGCCCCCAGCGGCTGCGGCCGGGAACTGCCGGGACAGAGCGCCACTGCGCCTGCGTGGAACAGCGCGGGGGGGCCTGGAAAAAA